AGTCATCGAAAATTTGGAGTCAGTATCTCTACCCTTCAAACTTGTCACTGTTGGAAGATCTCTAGTCATTGTATCTATACGTGACAAATGAATCTCTTCAACGATGCAGATTACAAAATTGAATCGGAAATAAATGAATTGTGTTTAAAGGCATCCATGCAATTTCAGAGCAGTAAAACTGGAAATATTCTGTATAAGGCAATATTTATGATATTGCTTCACATTTAGCACATTTCAATTAATATCTCATATTTTGGGTATACCGGTACTTAAAACTGGAGAAACAAGCCCCAAGATGAGTCTTTTATTTCATGTACCCTAAAAATCAGCCAAGGGCCCTTCCAGTAACCATTTTCCGTCAGAATTTTGGGTATTGTTGCTCAATGAGGGTCAATATACATTGAGATAGCGAAGTTTCAACTTAGGAAGTTGATAAGTGATTCGAAAATCGACTTTGAAAAACCGGGTTTCCAAGCCCTAAAACTGCACTGTTTTGTTAAGGAACAGGTTAGTAGGCGTCCATGACACAACATAAACAAAAAATAAGACGAAGCGAAGACAAGGTTGAGAGAATGTTTTTCGTATGCAAATGTTGGATAGATTAGTCTTGTATTAGCATAATTGTTTCATATAGATGTTGCCATATATTGTACCTGGAAGGATTGTTCAGCAGAAAAGATATATACAGACATTTATACAGTGTATAAAGATCGTGGTGCTTCAAATGTATTGTTTCTATGTTCGTTTGTGTGATACTAACTTTTTGATGAAGAGAGGGCTTCTATAAGAATATATTTTCTTTCTCAAACATCTTTCAATTAATAAATATAAATAAATCAAACAAATAAAGTTCTTACCGCGCGCTTTAGGTTGCTGAACGTTTGGCACGTTCATCTGATTTGGTACATTCGGGTCATTATTGACGAACGGGTTGGTCGAGACGTCATTGATTCTGTTAGAAGCCATTTGAGTGTCCGCTGAAGCTGTGTTGCACCCCACGTCATCCTGGTCCACGTAGGCGACGGCATACGGCTGAATGTCCTCATCATCAGGGGCTGTATGTCTGTTTTTAGACGCAGCACCACGTGTTGTGTGTAGGTCGTTACTGCAACTATCGTCATTTTCTTGGTATTTAACGGCGTATGGCTGGATGACGTCACAGTTGACATTCCCGAGCGAGGCACCCTCGTCCCCCTGGTGTCTGTCTGCAGAAGATTGCATGCTGGGATCGTCATCAACATTAGCTGACTCGACAACAGTATCTTCACCTTCCTGGTATTTAACAGCATAGGGCTGGATGACATCACAGCTAACTGATTCTACGACGGTTCCATCATGTTCCTGGTATGCAACTGCATATGGTTGGATGCAGGGATTGTCCTCGTTGTGTTCTGAGTTTGTGGTTGAGGCTGTCTCATTATCTTGCTTGAAGCTTGTTACAGCACGTGGCTGGAGGGAATGGTTGGCATCGTTGTTAGCTGGCCTGGATGCTTTTGGTACGGCGTTGGAGGGCACGTCTTCAGCCATGGCTCCAGAACCTTTTCTGCTTTTTTTCACTGATCTACCTAATAGTAAGACAAAGACAGAGTGGCGCTGCATTCAAATCTTAACACTCAACTTATCTTAACAGTGACATGAACATGTACTTACTCTAGGTACATAATGACAATGCTAAAGTCTGCCACTTTTGTAGTCCTCCCCTCTCACATAACAAGAAAGTGTCATGTTTATTATATATAGGCGGTGTAGTACATTGTACTTTTCTCTGAATCTCAACAAGGTCTATAAACGTCTTTAAGTAGATTAGAAACTTATGGTAAATCATGGAAGTTGAATGTAAATCTCAAAGTCATTGTTTTTACAAAAGTAGGTCGCCTGCCAAAAGACTGCCATTTCCTTTTTAGTAAGAATGTAGTTAAAATTGTAACAAACTATTTGTTTGTTTGTTTGTTTATTAGATCTCCATTAGATTTACATGAAATCTATTCTTCCTGGAGTCGCAAAATTACAATGAAACAAATGTACAGAACAGAACAAAACAAATGTACATGAAAGTAAAACCAACATAACAAAAGGTGTGAGTCTAAATCAAAAAATTAACATAACGCACACAACATTAACTGAAAACTGAACTTAAGTGAACGGGGAGAGGTCAGAGGTCATGATGATTAATGTAACAAAAACTGTTACAAAAGAGGTTGCAAAACTGCAAACCATAAACAGTAGTAAATCAACAAGTGGATGCAGAACTGCAAATCATAATAACAATAAGTAAATAACAAAGTGGATGCAGAACAGCTATCATATTAACAATAAATAATAACAAGTGGATGCAGAACTGCAAATCATAATAACAAAGTAAATAACAAAGTGGATGCAGAACAGCAATCATAATAACAAAGTAAATAACAAAGTGGATGCAGAACAGCAATCATAATAACAATAAATAAATAACAAGTGGATGCAGAACTGCAAATCATAATAATAACAATAAGTAATTAACAAATTAGATGCCACCTGATAATAATTTTAAAACCCAAACTTCACTAAGAAAATACTAACGTCTATTTACAACAGTATGAGTTTAATTAATTACCCCTACAATTTCAATTAATCTGAGACTTGGTTTAAGAGTGCTTACCACCAGTACTGTAAAGGTCTAGTTCTGTCAATTTTAGAATGAATCCACTTGGTGATTTGTGTTTTGAAATTTGAAGGTGTAGTCGATTTCATATGTGGTGGGAAGGAGTTGTATGATTTGGAACATCTGTATAAGAAAGTACGTGTTAATGTGTTTGTCCTAGGCTTAGGTAATCTGAAACCGCCACCATTTGCAAAACGAGTATTGTGGTCATGAGTGCTGTTGACGTTTTGTAATCTTTTGTAAATAGCCTCAGGTTTCTTAGTTGCTAAAAGTTTGTTGA